TTCTGTTAGGAGGTCATTCTCTTACAGATCTCAAGCTTCTAGATCTGAAATCCCTAGATCTATTAACCATGATCCATCCATAAACCTATAAGGTTTAGATACCTCTTCTATAATCCCTAGAAATGTCTATCAAACCTCTAAAAAAGAAGAAGAAAACCAGAGTATCCAATCTCCAACTTACTCTTCCCTTAATGAGTCTTATGATGTTATCTCATAAATTCATTATAGATAAAGAAACACTTAGGAAAGATTTCTACTCTGAGGAATGGAAACCTCAAAGACAGTGGTTCTTTCAAAATTATAAGGGAAAAAACAGGTCCGATATCCAAGAGGAATTCTATCAATTTCTCGAAAAGGTCAAGCAAAACATCTTATTCTTTGATTGGTATCATGCTTATACCATTCATCATAATATTGATTATCCTTGACAAGAGGACGTTATTAGTATTTCCTCTGCTAATGTTATATCTTGGCAGATCAAAGATGGACAAATTGTTCAAAGTGAACTGCCACCCACAACTCAATATCAGTTACCAAATCTAAAAGATAAAAGCAGTAATTATGTTACTACTACTCCTTTCAAGACCAAAAATCCTGACGAACATATCATTCCTAGTGATATTCAAGGCCTCATGGAACAGGCTAATTACACCAATAAATATCTTCAAGTTTTAGGAGAAAAAATCTCTTTTAATCCTGTTAAACCCAAAGTTGAAGAAATAGCTTCCTCTTCTTCTCAATCTCAATTAGAAAAACCTCTATTCAAACTTTTTAAGATTAGCGCCAAAGCCAAACAAAAAATCTTTGAGCTTAGATAGAAAGAAAAGGCCAAAGCCATAGATGACAACCAGAATGAGCTCCTTAATAAAATCACTAGTTTGCTCACTACTGTCCTAGATACTCCTCAAGCCTCAGAAGAATCTAGCGCCAAACCTAGGACTAGATCCCTTGCCAAAACTGTTAATGTCTTCTCTAAAACTGATTCATAACAAAATTCTGAAACAGATTCTATTTTAGCTATCAATCCAGTAAATAACTGAAAAAATTCCTCCAAACTCTATTATAATAAAGCCACTGCTCTTGATCTTATATTAGAAGATAAACAAGATTTTATCCAAAGTTTTAATTCTAATGATATTTATATTTGGAATATTGATGGACTATCTGAATATAATATTATCTCTAAACTCCAAAATATGTCTGTTGTCGCTATGAGCTATTTTACTAATCAAAATACGCCTGAAGACACTATTGTTTACATTCTAGTTGCAGGTTTTACTAGTCAACTCAAAGGTTGGTAGGATAATTATCTCACAAAAACTGATAGATAAAATATCCTCTCTGCAGTAAAAATTGATGACAAAAGTAAAGCCATTGTCAGTGATAGTGAACAGCTTCCTGATGCAATGTATACCTTATTATACACTATATCTCAACACTTTCTTGGAGATTCTTTTCTCTAGAGAGAAAGATCTGATGAACTTTTATCCAATCTTCGTTGTAGAACCTTAGAAGACTTTAAATGGTACAAAGACACCTTTATGTCTAGGGTTTTAACCAGAGAAGATTGTAACCAAGCCTACTAGAAAGAAAAATATCTTGATGGCCTCCCAAAATCTTTCGGAGACCTTATTAGAAGCAAACTCTGAAGTCATTCTCCTAATAGAGAAATTAATTATGATAGTTATGATTATGGTCAACTTACTGCCATTATTATCTATAATAACATCAAAGTTTGTCAAAAAGATAAACTCCAGAAACAACTTGCCAAAGAAAGAGCCCTGAACAAGAAAGAATTAGGATCTTTCTGTGAGCAATTTGGTCTTCTATCTTGCTCCACCAAAAAGAAAAAACAAGCTCCCAAAAAAGAGGTTGTTGAAACCTATAAAATGCCTTACAAAAGAAAGTATAATAGGAAACTTCCTTCCAAGAAAGAAGGGAAAAATCTCATCCCAATAATATTCCTAAGAAACCTAGAACAGGTGTAACTTGTTACAACTGTGGAAAACCCGGCCATATTAGTAAATACTATAGGCTGAAAAAGAAAATTAGCAACCTTAACCTTGATCCCTTTGTGGAAGATCACACCAATAACCTCCTTATTGAATCTTCTGAAGAAGATTCTGTCAAAGAATCCGATGAAAATGTCAACCAAATTCAAAATGATGATCAAATCTCTTCTTCTGATAGTGATGATACTCCAGAAATCAATGTTTTGATAAAAGAACAAGATCTTCTTTTTGAAGCAATAAGTTCAATTTCTGATCTTCAAAAAATAAAAGAATTTTTAAACAAATTGAAAGAGGTTTTAGAATTAAAACCTAAACCCAGAGAATATTTTACTACAAATAAATTTGATATAATGAATATTTTCAAAAGATTAGAAAAGAATTCCAATATCAAACCAACTACTATTCAAGATTTCCAGATTGAGATTAACAATCTCAAGAAAGAGATAAGAGATATTAAAGAGCAATAACAAATTCATCAAGTTATTCTTTCTCAATTATATATATATATAGTGCTCATGAAAGTGTAATAGTATGCTTCCTTATGGATTATTGAAAACTTTTTAGGTTCATATGTGTGATTATATGCTCTTTTGTTTAGAAATATATGTTTGAATGAGATTATTAATAAATTATCTAAGTTGATGAAGTGGATGAAGTATGTTTTGTTGTTCTTGATTGATATGAAATATATATTGTATTGAAAATATATGATTTGAATTGAGTTCAAAGGTGTTCAAACCTTTGGCATGATTGAATAATTTTATGATGAGAAATAAAAAGGGGTAAAATTTTATTATGATGAGAAAGGAAAAAGGGTGAAAGATGCGTTATTATGACATGTTATAAAAATACATATAGATAGTTACAAATATATATTGAGAGTGTAGAAGATAGAGGTGATTTTGAAAATTTGAAGGAAATGTAGGGTAGTGAATGCTTTTCGTTAGTTGTGCATAATTAATAAGCACAAAAACATCATAGGTCACTACACCAAAATAGAGATCTGAGAGCGGTTTCGTTTTGAATTAGAGAATGTTTAAAACTACTCTAAAATCTTGCGCTATCTGATGTATTATATTTAAGAGAACGGTTAAAGAACTACTGTTAGATGTTAAGATTAGAGAACGGTTTCAGGCGGAACTGCTCTCCAAAGTATAGGTGTAACATTTGAGAGCGGTTCTGCGTGGAACTGCTCTTCAAAGTATAAATTTAAACCGCAAAATTTGGAATTGATTTCTTTATTAACTGCTCTCCAAGAATGAGATTAGAGAGCGGTTCTTTATTAACCGCTCTCTAAAGTAGCGGTTAACAATTAATCGCTCTCAGAATTAAAGAACCGCTCTCAGAAGTATAGATTTGAGAGTGGTTAATAGAGAACCGCTCTCTAAATATATAATTACAAAGCGATTTTTATTAATCGTTATCTAAGTTAGCGCTTCAAAAGCTCATTTCTGGCGTAGTGGGTCTCACACTTATTTTTTGACTTAAACTTCTGATGATACTTTTGTTAAAAGGGGGCCGCATTGGCACACATTGTATTTGTGTTGTTATGGTTAACCAACAACTATCTATAATGTGAAAGATCTTAAAGAATCCTAGGGGCAGTGAATGGTTGAGATAAGGGCCCAAGAATACTAACAGTGTTAAAAGAATGCAATCACAATATACGAAAAATGTTATGTGCATATGAAAATAATGTTGATACAATTGTTATTATGAGTTGATTGGTGTGTTATGTTAAGCATGTGTGTTATGAAATTATTTAATTGATTATGTTTTAGTAGTGAGAAGAAAACTCATCATTATTAATAATTTTAGAAAACAAGGATGACTACCCGAAAGACCTATTAGACTAATTAAGTGTACTACAGAAAGTAGGTTAAATTATGTATATGTATTTAGAGAATGACAGAGAATTTGTTACTACTGTAAACTTGTAATAGATAATGAACACGAAATTAATAATGTAATTACAGTATAAATCATTGTAGGGTACAATATTCCTTTTTCATACCTTATTAGTGGTAGAATCAACTATAACATCAGCTTGTACATATATAGAGGGACAATCTGGAAGTCATAAGCTATAAATTATGTTTATACTTTTCACGATGACAATCACCTTAGAAGACCAATCCATTTTACCCAAGAACAGGTGACTAGCATAGAGGTTGTCGTAGACACTGAAAATTTTTATGAGGAAGACTAGACATTGGAAGAGCTCAAAGAGATAGAAGGCTAGTTTGAGGATGACGACTAGGATCGTATTCTCAATATTTTAGTGTGTATATAAACTACTCAGTAGGACTAGGTGTATTTTGATATTATAAATATGTACTTTAAGTCCTAATGTATTTTGGATAATAACTTGTACGTATTAAATTTCTATATTGAAATGATATCTAATGCACATGTTTCCTTAATGCTCATGTGTGATTTCATTTAGCAATGTATACTTTTTGTTGTTCAAGTGTAAATTTATTTAGCAAGTTACAATGTAATGATAAATATTTATCTCATCTTGTTTTGAATACCTTTGCATTTTCATAAAATGAATGATAAAAGTAGAAATTTAAATTTTTTATAAATTTTCACACTATAAGCATAAATAAATTCACTTTATCTTCCTTTGTTATTTTATAAATTATTACATAAATTGAATAATAAATTAATTTCCTTACATGTAAGATACACTTTTGTGAGAAGACACCAAAATTAAACAACTCTTCCAACAATGTTGTTTCTGTTTAAGTCATTTATTATGAGTTGAGGTAGTTTTTTCCTTAAAAATCATAATTATTTTTTATTTTTAAAATAAGTTAAGTCAAACATATACTTATTCTTTCTCCATTCATACACTTCTGTCCTTTCTAATTGGTTTAAAATCCATCTTAACACTTTCACAAAACATCCTTATCAAATGGCATTGATGATATAATATGACTAAGAACAAAATCTAGACAGGCCAAAAATCTGATGTTACATTACCTGATTTACAAAACATTCTAGTGTTTCGAGTTTGAAAACTTCGTTGGTTCCTACAACCAGCGGATCTGTTGCTATTTCGTCTACCAGAGAATGATAGAGCCGCTCAAACCCTTGTGTAAGAGCTTCTTCAGTTTGCTGAGATGAATGGAAAAGACTCTGAATGCTCATAATTTGTTGTTCAGTCAAACGCTCAAGCTGTGGTACAATGATCTGTAAGAACACAAGTTGAGTAAATTTTACAAGCTTTTGAGGTTTCCACAATATGGAATTATAACAATTTGCATAATGTATCATGAAAATTGAGAAATATTAAGTATCATAGTCCAGAACATTAGATAGAAAAGATATTTTGTTCTCAGTAGCAACTAGATTGCATCAAATTGAAGTACCAAAGGCATGGAATCTGACAATGTTTTCTTGAACCTAGTAGGACTGAAGCCTTTCGCATGAGTTCAAAACCACACAATTATGAATGGATACTTTTATTATTATTATTATTTTAAAAGTTTCACAAAAACCACCACTGAATAATTTTCAATATTTTAACACAACAAAATTTAAATAGACAGCAACATGAGAACTCGAGAAGAAAGATGATATGGAGCTCCTGTTTTGCAATCAATGAATAGAAAATATAAACACTTAGATAATAATATATGAATGTACAACTGTACTTTTATAAGCTCACTTGGGCGAGATCCTCCAATCCAAAGAAAAAAGCGTTCTGTTAATGGTTTCCATACACCAGAGATTATATAAATGACATCAACCTTTGCAGCATCTACTTTCATCCTATAAAGATTTGAGTAGTGGTTCAAGCTACTCTGAACAAGTAGACCAAGCTGCATATCAGATGCATTAGTTTGCAACGCATTTTTCAGTTCTCCATGCTGTCTATCTTGCTCTTCAACCCAATCTTCATATTCAATTTCAAACATAGTTATACCTGCTTTATAGAACAGTAGATCAATTTTAAGGAATACAACCTATAAGTATCATGCACTAAAAGTAGCAAGTAAATACAAAATAAGTTGCATCTAATTATTCTATAATAATAAGAATAATAGTAAATTAATAACAAAAAGCAGTAGTGATCATGTTCCATCGGAGGTTGAAAACTTGAGTTAAGCAACCTTAACTTGTAGTAAAACAGATATGTTCATATGACTAACTGTTGTCTTTCTGTTATAGTCACAGAGCCCTATCATGTGCTAATGCAAATCTGTATTAAAATTCCAGATCATTGGATGATACCATAATTCACTTTCTGCATTGCATCTACATAAACAAGAGAAAGTAGTACATAACAAGTAAGCCGTGCTGATTCAAGTAGCATAAAAGAATGATCATAGCAATAGAGTTGCGAAGCATTACTATTAATAGGTGCGTCATGGAATTCTACGTTTTCAAGTGGGTCTTCCAAATCACCATCAATACCAAAATTGGCTTGGGGTGAATCCATTTGAATGACACTTCCAAGTGGGGCATCCAAAGATGAACTAAGAATGATCAATGAATAACTGAAACTTCCTCCAACAATAACTAACCATAATTTTATTGTCATGAGTTGTACCATTAGACCTCCACAGAAAAAATAAAGGAGATCAACCTCGAATCCACAATGAGTCTGTCTTGCCAAACCGAGTGACATAATTGCAAAAGCACCCCATGAAAGCACGCTGTATGCATCTGCTTTGGCATTCAACAGATTATCAAAGACAAAAGAGTACACACAAGTGATGATCAAAACAAAAAATGCCCAATGAGCTTTCTGCATGGAAGTAGTTGAGAGTTGGCAGCATGCCTTTGTGAGCAAGACGCCAAGGCAAATGAAGAAACTTAAAACAGTATAAATTAATATCTTCCACCAAGTCCACTTCCCCAGTAATTGGTTGAAAGACAAGCTCTGAGAGTAACAAAACATTCCAACTACAGCTGAAGCAAAGCGCACAATTCTCCACATATTTGGCTGCATTAGCTGCCATCTCCGAATTTGGATGATCATGCTCTTTCTCAAGTGGTGAAGGTTTGCATTCTCAGAAAGAAAAGTGACCCTTTTTATGTGGGGATGATTATGTTTTCTTTCGAAGGAAATTTGGAGGAAAGGGACCAAAAGAAAAGACTCTCATTTTTTTTATGCTCTGTCCTTACCTTAATGACACCAATGAACAAGTAGTTTTTTATATTTGTAAATTTTAAGTTTTGTCTTAAGCAGTTTTTTAATTTTTATTCTAGTGCACTCAACTTTGTGGCTAACTTTCCCTTTTTGTAGTGTGGAAAGAAGCAAAACTTGGAATTAAGAAGATTCAAATATCGTGGATTCGTGATTTATAGATAAAAAATCTGCATGGACCCTGCTCTATGTTCTGTTTTTGCAATGAAACTTGTTTCAATAGATATCACAGCTTGAAAGAAACTTGTTTCAATTGAGGTAGACTCAAAAGCCGCTGGTAGTAAGCTGTGAGCCCCAATTGTTTTGAAAATTTTTTGGCCGCATGATGAGAAATATTGAACTCATCCTGTTAAATATTTTAAATTATTATAAAAATATATATTATTCTTTTTATGATTTTAAGATAAATATTTTTAATAACATTTTTTATTTTAAATCTCTTAACATGTATTATTAAACATTCTTAAAAAAATAGAGAATATACAGTAATCTTCCTAGATGTCAAGTTGATGTATTTAAATTAATTAGGTAAAGTTTGAGCTTAATTTTGTATGTAAAATGTATGTTTGATTTCATATTTCCTAGTCATGGATGCATTTTTATTTTAACACTATTAGTTATAATTTTTATATTAAAAATTTAAATCTACGTTTTTTAACGTAAATTAAAAACATAGGATGTCAGCGCTTAATTGAGGAAGACAGGTAAGCACTTTCAGTTTCACTACAAATTAACACCCAACATATTGCTATATATAATTATTTTGATCCCTATCTTTTGTATCCTTTTTATAGACTTGCATCTCAAAAACAAACTATAAACACAAGTTCACCTTTAGGTATTTACTTTTAGGTGTTCAAATCATAGTTATCAAATTTGCGCTCCAACTCGGTGATGAGTGATCTATAAACTGGTTCGTGCATCTTAAAATGCATTTTTTTTTTATGTATTAATAATGACGATGAAAATCGCTCATAACAGTATCTCGAAAGACGTGCAGAAAAGAAGGGGAAAAAATGCTACCATCATCGTTCAGTTTCAACTAGCAAACAGCTCGAATTTTCTTGGAGATAAATGAATAAGTTGAAAAAAGGACAAAGTTTTTTTAATAATAAAATAATAGTATTATTAAAGATAAAAAAAATTATTGTTTAATGTAAAAATTGTCAAAAGCGTTCAATGCATGTAAGAGATGGTTCATGTATTTCATTAGACACAAACGTGTCCCACTTATTCAGGCTTTTCGTTAATTGCTACATAAGTAAATGAAGACTCCTAACACAAGAACTGTAAGAAGGTCTGAAAATATATTTATTGGGTTACGCATTAAAGGAAAAAATATTTTTAATATTATGAGTTAAAAAATTTATAATATTTTTGTAAAATTATAATAAAAAATACCAAATAATGTTTTGAAATAGATTGCAAACCCCAACAGCATACCAAGTATACCTCTATGTTCCGTATATTTAATCTAGCAAAGTACCACCTACTAATTATCCGTCTCGTACCTAAGCAGCTATTAGATAACTATGCTTCCAGCAATAATTACCTTATTATTATACTCTCAGTTGCTTGAAGATGAATGAATGTTGCCACGCACCTTTTATCATATGTTTAATTAATAGTTAAAATTTATTTAAAATATATATTTTTTATTTTTAATTTAACGCTTTTTTCTTTATTTTTGTAATTTTAAATAAATTTTAGTCAATAGGAAAAATATATTAAAAATATAAATAATAAAACGTGTTATTAACATTTTTTATTTAAAATACTTCTTTTATCTCTTTTATAAAAAATAATTAATTTATTAAAATCAATAAAAATAATTATTTATTATAAATTTATAATATATTTTAAAAATATTTATAATAATAAATAATTGAGTAACAAATATATTAAATAAATATATTTATTTATATAAATAATTAATGAGTGTTCAGAAAACATTTTTCTTTACAATAATAATACAAAACTTATAATGAATAAGAATATAAAAAATAATCATTAATATATTAAAAATAAATTTTTATTTTCTATAAATATAACAAAAAGAATAATAACACGATATAACATGTGGACGATATCTTATTCGAATGTTCAAATTAAAGGGCAAAAATCCAAAATGGCTTATTTGCTATCATCATAAGTCTGACAACTAATATAGTAATATAATATGATAGAAAAGTTATGTACAATAATTTATATTATAATTTAAAAATTAATATAATTTAATGCATCAATGTTATTAAACATTATAATTTTTAATAAAAAAATTTATTTTTAACTTTTTATCATGTATAATAATTTTAACTAGTGTCAAAGATGTCTTTATTATTATTATTTAAAAGTTATTCATTTACAACTTTATAGCCTCTTTATCCAAAATGTATTCTCTTTGCATTTCTTTAACTATTGTAAATTGCCAGTGTATTATATTTAAAAGCATCCAATTTTCCACTGTTGTGTATAACTTCCAACTCAAAAGTTTTTCACTTTTCTCTCTCAAAGTGTGTATGTTTGAGCATGTTTATCTACTTGGGATGCGTTTAGTAAATGTTTATTTAAGTATTTCTTTAATTTTTTTAATTTATAAGTTATATAATTTTTTATTAAAATAAGATAAAAATAGTTTATAAGAATCATGAGCTATTTTTCATAATAAGTATATAAGCTTTTTTTTAAGTAATTATTGTATTTTAGAGAGTATTAGTTATAAGACTAGCTATATGTATCAGTAATTTACTTGTAATGGCAACATACTTCTAACTCCAATGCTTTGCATGTGTTAATTAAAATTGAAAAGCTTATTTTGTGCTAATTTTATTTTTGATATAATTGTAGTTTTGTATTCTATTATTATTTCCAACAGTTCTATACCAAAGATATCTTATAAGAACAAAATTTAAGGGTCTGTGCAGTATCATAGCTATTGTTGGTGTTATGCTCTCACTAGAGTTAGAGTTTTGGTTCGGTGATAACCTTTAATGCCAGTGTGTTGATATATAATGTTAACTTCTATTATGTAAATTATCAAAGTGAGACTCTAATTCTGATAAAAGAATAACACCAATAATATAATGCATCTAAATTTTGCTTATTTGATAATTTTTTTTGCTTTAAGTTTTCGATAATGACTAAAATATAAGTAAAATTATTCACATAATATTATATGAAATTAGAATACCAAAAATAATTATAATAAAGTTGTATATTTATTTATTGAAGATATACTCTATCATAAAAGTTGTTGCGTTTGAACTTTGATTTACGTAAGAATTAATATGTCATAATTTCCTCTATAATTTACTTTTCTAAATCACATCTTTTTATAGAACAAGTAGTGGAATAACTCACTGACTAAGCAATTCTAAGTTATTATAGAAGGGACTTTATCTAAACACAAAGTACTGACTATAGTTTCTTTTCATCATGAATTATTGGGTTAAAGCTTATATTTTAATTCACATTAATAAATTAAAAATCTTTTAACTAAAAGAATTACTTAAATTAATTATTAAACTTACTTATACACCTACATTGTTATAAATTAGTTCTTTTTTATTAAAATTAAAATAACAATTAATTTTAATTCACAAAAACTTATCAAATAATTTTAACATAAGAAATCATGAAACGATCTAGAAAGGCCTTGTTTCATCTGTATTTACCTCGGAGATCTTATGCTTCAACTCATGCATTTTCTCTCTCCATCATTATACGTTTTAGTAGTAGAGTGTGAACAACAAGGCAGACATCATATATCAAGATACATTTATCCGAAAGTGTTGATATAGAAACTCAAACCCGGCGCCAAATTGTATTTTTTATTTAGATACTCTAGATCCCAAATTCCATCAATGAAAATCTTAGATGCAATCAAAAATTAATTCGAAGTTAATTTAAGCCTAAAATTTAAATATTAATTAATTAAGTTCTATAATTTAGCAAACTTTAACAGGTTAATTTGATTGGATGAATCCATTTTACTATCTGCATATATAAGTAGGAAAAAAAAAACATTAACAAGAAAGTATTAAGATCTATATATTAAAATTCATGGATTTAACGTCTTCAGTTTTGTTTTTTTTAAATTCTGATATTTAATTAATAATATGTATCTTAACATATAATTTTTCTAATTTTCCCCTCATGATACAAGATATTGATCATAAAAGGGCTTGTTGTAATAATTCAATTAGTGTGAGGACTTAAATAAAAATTAGTTTCTGTTGTGGTTTTAGTAGTTAGTTACTAGGCTCTGCTATAAGTAGCAATGTAACAGAATTCAATACATTCCATTGATTCAGGGAGCTAATCCTGTTTCTAAGAGACCTTACCAGTACAGTAAGCAGCAGAAGGATGAGATTGATAGGTTGGTTCAAGAGTCACTCAGGTCTGGAATCATTCAGCACAGCAATAGTCCATATGCTAGTCCTGTGGTTTTGGTGGGTAAGAAGGATGGCTCTTGGAGACTTTGTGTAGATTATAGAGATCTCAACAAGCATACTGTTAAGGATAAGTTTCCAATTCCCTTAGTAGAGGATTTACTTGATGAGTTGCATGGTTCAGTAATTTTTTCTAAAATAGATCTCAGGTCGAGGTATAACCAAGTAAGAATGAATGCTGTTGATATACACAAAACTGCTTTTAAGACACATGTAGGGCATTTTGAGTACTTGGTCATGCCCTTTGGGTTGACCAATGCCCCAGCTACATTTCAGGGATTAATGAATGACGTTTTTCAGGCTTACTTAAGGAAATTCCTTCTTGTCTTTTTTGATGATATTCTCATCTACAGCAAGAGTTTGGAAGAACATTTGCTACATCTCCATCAGGTTTTACAAACCATGAGAGAGCAATTCTTGTATGCCAAGAAATCTAAATGTTACTTTGGTGTCTCCAGGGTTGAATATTTAGGACATTTTATTTCTACTCAAGGGGTTTCTACTGATCCTGAGAAAATTTCTGCTGTTACCAAATGGCCCTTCCCTCAATCACTTAAGCAACAGAGGGTTTTTTTAGGACTCACAGGGTATTATAGGCAGTTTGTAAAAGGCTATGGCATCTTAGCTAAACCTTTAACTGAGATGTTGAAGAAAGATAATTTTTCTTGGACCCCTGAAGCTAAATTGGCATTTCAGTCCTTAAAAGATCACTTAATTCAAGCACCAGTCGTGGCCTTGCCGGATTTCAGTAAGGTTTTTGTCGTGGAAGTAGATGCCTCAGGGAATGGGATAGGAGCTGTCCTAATGCAAGATCATCACCCTTTGGCTTTCATTAGCAGAGCACTTAACTTGCAACAAAAGTCACTTTCTACTTATGAAAAGGAATTACTGGCAGTGATTTTTGCTGTCCAAAAGTGGAGACACTACTTATTGCCTAAGAAATTCATCATTCGCATTGATCATAAGAGTCTTAAATACATTCTGGATCAAAGGCTAACTACAACTTTTCAGCAGCAATGGCTTGTTAAATTGCTTGAATTTGACTTTGACATTGAGTACAAAGAGGGCAAGGAAAATGTTGCTGCGGATGCTCTCTCTAGGTTGGAAAATATAGATGCAGTTTCTTCAACCTGAATCTGATCTTTTACAAAGAATCGTGTTGTCTTGGCAATCTGATCCTTCTCTTCAGAAGTTGATTTCTGAACTTCAAGCTAATCCTGCCTCTCATAGACATTTTACATGGAATACTAGAAGGAAACATAAACTGATGGTTGGTAGGGATACTGAATTGAGGAAGCACCTTCTCAAGTGGATTCATGAATCAGCCATCGGAGGACATTCTGGTAGGGATGTGACATTGAGGAAAATCAAAGCGATTGTATATTGGAGAGGGATGACCAAAGATGTCAAATCCTTTGTGCAACAATGTGGTGTCTGCCAAACCTGTAAAATTGATAATGCTGCTTCCCCTGGACTCCTTCAACCATTACCAATTCCTGATCATGTGTGGCAACACATCACCATGGATTTCATTGAAGGATTACCACTATCTTTTGGGAAGCAAGTCATCTTTGTAGTGTTGGATAGGCTCAGCAAAGCTGCACATTTCATATCCCTCTCTCATCCCTACACTGCTGCTGATGTGGCACAAATCTTCTTGGACCATGTTTTTAAATTACATGGTTTTCCTGCCACTATTACTTCTGACTGGGACTCGGTGTTTATGAGCAAATTCTGGCAAGATCTCATGGCATTTCAGGGAGTTCAGCTCCAGTTATCAACGGCCTACCACCCTCAAACTGATGGTCAAACTGAGGTTGTAAATAGGTGCCTCGAAACCTACCTCAGATGTATGTATTCTGATCAGCCCAAGCAATGGTCCAGGTGGTTGCCGCTTGTGGAGTGGTGGTATAACACAAATTTTCACAGTAGCATTCAAGCTACTCCCTTTGAAATTGTCTATGGCCAGCCACCACCTATTTGTTTGCCTTATTTGCCTGGGGAATCGAACATTGAACTTGTGGATAGAAGTCTACAAAAGAGAGAGGAGGTCCTCAAGTTGCTCAAGTTCCATATGAAGAGAGCACAAGACCGGATGAAGCAATTGACTGATAGGCACAGGTCTGATCGCAGATTTCAGATTGGTGATTGGGTTTTTGTCAAGCTTCACCCTTACAGACAAGTTTCTGTGACTTTTCGAGAAAATGCCAAGCTTTCTCTTAAGTTTTATGGTCCATTTCTCATCCTGGATCATGTGGGTCCGGTTGCTTATAAGTTGGACTTGCCTGCTCAGTCTCAAATTCATAATGTCTTCCATGTCTCTCAATTAAGAAAACATGTTGGACAAACCTCTACTTCTAGCACTTTGCCCACTGCCACTTGGGAGAAAGGAGGAACAAGGGAACCGGAAGCCATTCTTGATAGAATGACAGTAAAAAAGGGCAGTCGTGCTGCTACAAAAGTGTTGGTCAAATGGAAGCATCAACTTCCTGAGGATGCTACCTGGGAATTTTATTATGACTTAAAGCAAAAGTTTCCTCAGTTCCATTCTTGAGGGCAAGAATGTTTTTGGAGGGAGGCATTGATACATGATATTGATCATAAGGGAGCTTGTTGTAATAATTCAATTAGTGTGAGGACTTAAATAAAAATTAGTGTCTATTGTGGTTTTAGTCGTTAGTTACTAGGCTCTGCTATAAGTAGCAATGTAACAGAATTCAATACATTCCATTCTTTTGTAAGCAACATATCTTCCTGAATCTCTCACTCACTAAAAATTCTTCGGATTCTATTCTTCTTCTTAGAATCCCTATTGTTTTAGTTCTTCGTTGTTTTTCATACCTAGAACTATTGTATCACCTCAATTTATAAAAATATGAGAAAAAAAGAAATCAAAATTAAAATTATAAGATTACAAAAGAGACACAACATATTTTTTTTAAGTTTTCAAAAGACAACAAAGGGGGAAATTAATTCCTTTTACATGATTCCATGTGGAAGATGATATCATGGTACAATGTTTATGTACAAGGTTGTTCAATGTTCACTAGTTGTGAAGTCTGCTTCATGGTGGTAGGCTGCATTAATAACTAGCATATACATAAAACACATTGAACAAAAGAGAGAAACTTTTGTGTACAGCACATAGAAGTTGAAGTTAAAAGAAAGAGGTATCAATTGGAGTGGTGAGTAGGGTAAGCAGGATCACATGAACGAGCAGTCCATAAAGAACTGAGAGCGCGAAGGCGATGAAAGTATTCTCCCATAGCCAGCAAGCCTTGAGCAGCTTGCCCAATTGTCAGGATCCGAGACATGTGAAGCAGAGTTTGTTGCCTAAGGTGATCAGCCTGTCCATAAGGAATAACATCTCAGTTATTCGTTTCAACTTATTCGTTTCAACCATTTTAACATAATAACATTCTCTCATATGACTTTGAAAGTTTGTTCTATATATGTGTATCGGTCTCATATTGTATTTGTGTGGAATTTCATATCTGTGCTTCTTAGTTACTAAATAGAGATCCACTTTCCAGTCTCTTGCAATATGCAAAAGGCTTTCATGACCATGGACTACACAGAATGTAAAAAAATTGGCATAATAAGAGTAAGGAGAAATTCGAAACATTCCTACATTACCTGGTTTACAAAACCTTCTAGTGCTTCCCCTTTTTCCTTGGCAGCAGCGACCTCAAATTCGTAGTATCCTACAACAAATGGATCTGATGGTATGTTGTGGACCAGACTCTGCTGAAGTTTCTCCAATCCCAGTGAGAGAGCATCTTCAGCTTGCTGAGATGAAAGCCGGAGATTGTTAATGCTAACAAGTTGTTGATCAGTCAAAGGCTCAAGCTGTGGTACAATGATCTGCTCGGACAGGTCATGTAATTAGTACAACGTTATTGAGGTTTCCACTATATGGTGTTTTTAACAATAAGCAAACATATTATGAAATGAGAAACAGCAACATATCCAGAAGAAAAGATGTTTATCGTAGAACCAAAGTCCAGCACATAAGATTGAAAAGATATTTTTATCTCAATGGCAACTTGATTGCTTTATATCAAAGTACCTAATAACGGTAGTTATAAATAGAATCTGACAAAGTTTTTTCTGCCTTACAGAGCAACTTGTTATGACTGAAATCGACACGAGTTAAAAATGAGACTTGTATTCAATCCTCACACAACCACGTGGTAGATATACCACACATTCACACAATTATGAGTGGACATTTTTCTATTATTTTAAAAGCTATAGGAAACAACCACTGAAGAACAAGAATTTAATAAATAGCAAAATTAAAACATGGTTGGAAGATGAGAAAAATAAGAAAGATGATATGGAAGGAACTCCTATTTTGCACAGTCAAAGAATCAGATAAGGGTGTGAGGATGTACATTTAGAAGCTGTGATGGTCGAGATCCTCCAATCCAAAGAAAAAGGCGTTCCACCGATGATTTCCATGCACCGGAAATCATATAAAAGACATCAGCCTTTGCAGCATCTGCTTTTATCCTGAAAAGATTTGAGTAGTGGTTCAAGCTACTCTCAACAAGTAGATGAAGCTGCTCAGAATCAGATGCATGAGTTTGCAATGCATTTCTTAGTTCTTCATTCTGTCTATCTTGCTCTTCAACCCATTGTCCATATTCGATTTCAAACATAGTTATGCCTGATTTACAGAACAGGAGGACGATTTTAAATAAGGCCATTTGCTATAGTCTTAATGCCCATAGACAGAAAGTAGTTAAGTAATCACAAATATAAGTGAAATTTTATAATCCTGTAGAAAGAGTTATAACATTAGAACTCTATTCATATCATGAAAGCAACTTGCAGTTCAATATGAAATACTTGATTTTCTCATATTTGGATCACTGAAAAGAACAGTTGATAGAGCGGAATAGAATACTATTGCAATATGCTAATTTTGGATGCCAGCAGTGTAGTTTATATAGTTTGAGAAATAAAGATGCTAACAGTCTGTTAAATAGAAATGTAACATCAGCCAACAGTTTGAGAATAAAGATGCTAACACGTCCATTGGACAACATACTCAAACTTCACCTTCGTGGACATGACACCAAATTTACTTCTAGGGAAAGTGTGCTGACAATTTATTTTCCATAAGATGTGATCATTCAAGACTATATATCGTCCCCCAGAGGACTGAGCCATGATCAACGAAATGTATAGGGCAAAAACAAATGTGGGGCCAGAACATCTCATACCCTTTAGAGAATTTTTTGGAAAAAGCAAGAAAATATGTTTTATAGCAATAAAAATCTTCAATAGGAGGTTGAAAATTTAGCTAAGCAAAGTTGACTTGCAGTAAAATAGATAAAAATGTTCATTGGGTGACTGGTATCTTTCTATTGAATTCACTGAGACCTGTCATACGTAAATCTGTATTTGATACAGCAAAATGAAATGTAGAGACATACTAGGAATAATCACATAAACTCTGCTAGAATGATCACTGCATGAAACAATTGAGAGATGCATTTAAATCTAGTTCCGATACATGAAAGGACAAATACCATGATTCAACTTCATCTGAAAAAAGTAGTAATATAAATAACTAAGAAACATTGAGGAATGCTAAAACTGAAATCTTGAATCCCAAACCTGAGTTTATTGTTGCAGATGGTGCCATATAACTGAAATCTGTTGCACTGCGTATGCATAGACCCTGAAAGTATGCATTTGAGTATATGCTGGAACATAATACATCAAAATAAAAGGCAAAAATAGATCACCTGTTTCCTTGCTTTCTCAATCTCCAGCTCCAATTGCACGAGCTTCACACGGCTTGTTTCTAATTGTTGAACGTAAGCCTATAAAATTGAATTACACGAGTAAGAATCAGATTATAAACACTGGCTAACTTCCTACAAATTCAGATTTTACAACCTTCTTCCGCAGCCGACATTTTCGAGCAGCCTCTCGATTTTGAGCTAGACGTCTTAGCACCTACACATAAATATTCATCAACAACAATACCAAAGATTGAAACAAAAAAAAAAATGTTTGATATCTGTTCTTCAGGCCATTAATTTTGGTTTCTTAGCAACATATAAATGTGTGAGAGAAACCAGTATACCCTTCCAAGTTATTTACACCAATTAAAATGAAGCATGGCAAACATGAAGAGAAAATACATAAAAGAGATACACAGTGATCAAAATTTCATCACCTTACTATTAGTCTCTTGATCATCTCCAGAAGTTTCCATTGATTCATGAGGAGTGCATTCATTCTGAACAAATCAAATTCAAAAGACTGATGTAATTAAGCTAGTTTTCCTATAAAACAATGCTAACTTACAAATAAAAGAGAAATTGATTACCTTGTTCTCCATTCTAGGCTTCATCATTAACATTGGGGAAGCAATGGAATTGAGGCTGCCATCAACTTTAAAGCTGTCCCCCCACATGCTCACTTGATGGAACGGATCGTATATACCCATCCCTTTCGTGAGGACTAGTTGAGTTGATGAAGAGCTCATATACTAGAAATCATTGCAAGAAACGATTAATACCTCAAATTGGAGCATTGATGGATTGTGTAGATAATATAAAATGAGAAATTAAGACTTGGTCCCTTATATAGCAATCGACTGCAAACTTGGAAGCTGGAAATTGAATGAAATCTCAACATCGGAAACGGCAAGATTGATAAGTTCCCACATGATTAATGTCCTGTTATCTCTAGTATTGTCCAAAGAAATTACTATTTTCTAAATAATACTAATAAAAATGCATATGTTTGATGCCACTTATGTGCAAAATTTAGCATGATGAACTTGCTTCTACCAAAAGGCAGAAGCTGAAATCAGTTAATAGGCATCTGATTTACTATGACACCATTAACTCACCCTACCCTGTCTTCCCTTTACCAAGTCCCCAAAAAGAAATAAGAAGACTTAGAATAGCATCAGTAGTTCAATGCTAAAATTTTTACACAGAATAAAGTAAATACAAAAGACAACTTTCAAGTTAGGCAAGATGAAATGGGAACTAACCTGGCCAGTACAAACACAGCTGAGGAAAGAAATTAAGCCAATGAATAGATAGCTAGCTACTTTGGTAGAATCTGCAACCACCAATGCTAATATTAGTCCACCAAAGATCCCATATGAATGAATCTAAGAAAATTTATACACACATGAACTCACTAACTATTATTATTATTATTATTTTTCCTGCATGCCAACAAGCTGTGAAAAGCAACGCACTAACTGAAGAAGACAATTCAAAATTTGATTCTAAAATAAACACAAAACATCAATTTCTAAATATAACAAAACTTATTTATTGATTAAAATGAATAGCTTTGATGCGTCAACTTGCTATTGTTAAGTTGCTACGTTTCCACTGGAAGAGAAATACTTGGAATACTCAGCAGTGCATTAAAAATGCAAAAGGAAAGAAGAGAGAAGAAAATTCACAGCTTTTCTTATTCAGTTGATATCTTTGAGTCTTTGACCAACATGAATTGTGTAGATATTACATAGACTTCCAAGCTTTATACCATAGATGATTTAGGAAGCATATAGCATTGGGTCCTTCCTTCCCACTCAAAACCTTACAGCTATTGGATTTGATTTCTTTAACATGATAAAAATATCTATAGTGAAAATGTAAGGATCCATTTTCTACATTATAAAGTACTTGACTTTGTAAAAGGGCTTAAGGCACGGGCTACTGAAATATATTCTTAGCACTCTATTTTTGTGAAAAAAAAAACAAAAACGAATTGTAGTGTGTGTGTGTATATATATATATATAACACTTAATATCAAATTTTAACTTTAAAGTTAAAGAATATAAGAATTTTATAAATGTATAAATTAAACTACTGGAAATATTAAATTTTATCAAAATAGATAAATTCTTGTCTAAATGTATATATAGCTTATTTTACTAATTACTCCTTTTTAAAATAAAATTAATAATATATTTAGATTATCAATTGAAAAAGATGTAGTTTTTAAATTTGTACTTGACTATCCAAATTTAATAGTTAATTTTGCATCACAAAAGTAAAAAAAGATTCTAAAAATATACGAAATATATTATTAATGGGCCTAATATAATTTTTACCTTGATCTTAAATGCCATTAAGTCCTAACTGTGCAAACTTAATTCATTTTAAACAAGTATGAATACATCCAACTATTGGAGTCAAATTTGCGGCCAACTGACTTGGTCACGTCCCCATCCCCCTATAATGGTTTTGTACGCTTCTTTTTGAATATTAAGGAATAATTGTTAAAATAAAAATTATAAAAACAATATTTATTTCCCGAGAATATGAAATTTATAATTGATTATATCCACGACCACTTAATGGAACTCACTAGGAAATTAATCAGCAAAAAAAAAAGAAAAGATTTTATAGAGATAATCTAGACAGTGAATCATAATTATATGATCATATATTATTGAGGACCTTATCATGTTAGGTTATGAAAGGAAAGTATCTAATTAAGTTGTTTAACAATGGTTATACCCATGCACCTTACACCTCAACCTTTATAATAAAATAAAAGTCATATTAATTGTCTTCTTGATCATATACCCATCACAATTGATCAACCCGTAGATTCTCTCATTGTTGTCCCTTTCCACCTCACATGGAAAAGGTATATTGTGCTTCACAAACGACATCCGAAATTGCTTTTTGTAAAGAAGATAAAAGATTTACTTAAAGTAGATAGGTTTCTCCTTTATTTCATTCTTTTTCTGCCTCTTTTTCATCACCAAAAAAGCGTTACAGTGGAGCTCAACTTAACCAATAATTTCCCTTAGCTTCAATTGTGATAACAAAGCTCATTTCTCATATGCATTTCATGTGAATTAATTTAACTGTCTCTACTGGACAATCCTTTAAGCTACTGCTTCTATATCGTGGATTTATCACTATATAATCGCTGCAAAGAATGAAAAGTTTGAAATTGTGATCCTGAAGCTTAATGGTACGTGGGCTATCAATGATTTTTTTAATATATTTTTAAAAAATATTTATTGTATAAAAAATGATAAAAGTATAATAAATACTTTTTAATAAAAAATTAGTAATTTTATAAACTTAATATCAAACTTAAAAATTGAACTTAAACAAATTTTTTATTTTTTATATGTTAAGAAAATAACAATAAATGTTGCCATTTATTTAATAGTGGTAATATATAAGCTTGAACAACTAGAATTAGGTTATCCCCGAGGAGTTCGCATGGATAATTTGCATGAGATCATATCCACTAAACCAAAAGAAAACGTAAGTTTGATTATAATAGTAACCATTCATCCACTATCATGAATCTTACCTCATCCGTATACCATTTCTGAAATTTCAGTTAAAAAATATTTTTGAAGAACCCATGATACTTAATATTTGATTAGAATTAATTTCAAGGTGCAATTCAATTGAAATTTAACTAGGAGTATTTTATAAATTATGTTTTAAATTATATACGCAGCCTAGTTAGTTAAACAAGTTTCTTTGTCCATGAAAGTTTTAAATATAAAAATTTGATGATTGATTCGTGTCCATATTTGATTCAGCCTTAACTTGTTTCTATAAACTCTAGCGATCGAGGTAAATCCTAAACGGTAGATATAATTAATATTGTATTATGAGCACCAGCTAGCATAGGGAAGGTAGGATTACGTCAAATTTGCTTTAAAGATATATAAAGAAAAAGTTAAAAAGTAAATTAAGACATAACTACTTTGCCTAGTGGTGCTGCATGATACGCGGTCATTTGCTAATTAATGCTAAGCTTTTCCGCGTACCACACTTTAAGAATTTCTCCACTACAAGACGCTGATCTCGATTGTAATTTGTGACCTGTGGGTTACAGTAACTTTGTTAACTAATTATCATTAATAAATAATCAGAGAAAGAGAAAAATGAAATGATTAATGGTGCCTGGGACAAGATTCATGTTGTACTTGTAAGTTTGCGTACAAAACGCTTGTAGTGAATAATGATGGTGGAATTTTAACACATAAATTCGTGAATTTACATTAAAGAATGTCCGTCCTCAAAATCCAGGATAATTAAAAATGAATCTTTTTAGGTTCAAATTTTATAAAAAGAATACATGTAAATTTTGAGTTTATTTCCTTTTTAATAGATATTAATTAAATAAAATTAAAAAATGAATGAAAATAGATATAGAATTATATATAACCCATCTGTTTACGATGAAAAATGACAGTTGTAAACAAATAATCCAAAGATCATTATGTGGACTGGATTTAGGTCCTCTTTTGGGTTCTTTTAAGTGTGTTGTTAACGTGATGCTCAAATTAACGGCGTAAAAGAGCATTAAGCAAGAATAGTGAATAATAAATGTGCAGAATTAAATCAGACGTAGATGCTTTTACAGAAATGTAGCAAGCAGGAACTAAACAACGTACAAAGATATAAGTAACAAGAACTGAAATTAAAATGCAGAAAGGTAAATGCAGGGATTTAAAGGTGCGTGAATGTAAACGTACGACTCCTCACAACGGCGAACAGCGGCCACCGTAGGTCTCCTTGTAGCTGGTGTCTGGCGCGGTGCAGGGTTTCAGCGTCTCAGAGTGTTTAGGTGCGGTGTCTGGGTGCAAAAAGTCGTCCTCTGTGAAATAATGCTTTGTAGTATTTATAGACATGAATATCACCACCGTTTTCCTCCTTTTGCGGACACTTCTTAGTAACTGACTTCAACTGTTGATGCTCACTATCCACGATTTCTTGTGATCGTGCTGTTTGTTGTAACCGCTATCGCCCATGATCTCCTTTGCGTAGTGGTGAATGTTGATAACTACTGGTAACCGCTTTTGGATTTTTCAATACTCCTATCTTTCGAGTATTTCTGAGAGAAACCTAAAAAACTCTTTTAATGTTATGGCCTTGGAATAGTTTCTTCTTGACTTCTCTTTTCGAGCCATTCTGGAGTTTTGAGAGTCTGTCTGGGTCTTGTGGACTTAGAACATTTTCTTTGCTCATTTCTGTTTTTCGAGCAATTTTGGAGGGACTCTTGAGCTCCACCAGATTTGTGGACTTAGAATATTTTCTGACCACTTCTTGTTTTTCGAGCAATTCTAGAGGAAATCTGGAACTCAGCCAAGTTTGTGGACTTAGAATATTTTCTTACCACTTCCTGCTTTTCGAGCAGTTTTGGGTGTCAGGTACTTGGAAACTCATCAAATATTCCTCGAAAAGCCATCAGTTTTTTGTGGACTTAGAATATTTTCCTGTTAGTCCTGTTTTTCGAGCAGCTTTGGGTGTTAGGGACTTAAAAACTCCTAAAAACTCCTCGAAAAACCATCAGTTTTGTGGACTTGGAATATTTTCTTGTCAGTTCTATTTTTCGAGTAGTTTTTGGTGTCAGTGACTTAAAAACTCCTCAAAACTTCTCGAAAAAGCCTTTAGTTTTGTGGTCTTAGAATATTTTCTTGTCTTTCAAGCAGTTTAGAGAAAAATCAACAATGTGACAAAAATCTCTTAAAA